CTAGCGCTATCATCTACTACTTGATCCCTATTATCAACATGTCAATGGATAGTTGGTGATCCAAGTGAATACAACAATACTAGTAAGTTAATGATCCAAATTCGGCCCAAGACTCGCATAAGAGAACGGAGGACTAAGGCTTCGAGAATCTCAAACCTGCTCAAGCGTAGCAGTACAAATCTGGCTGGTGTAGCTTTCAAGGAAAAGTCTCTATGCCAAAAAGCTTCGGATTTAAGTTCTGAAATCTGCAAGACCTTTCTCCTGTCGGATTTTATCTTTGCCAGATGAGTTTTCAGATGGCTATGTATTCTCATCCGAAGAGTCGCAGTAGTTCGAGAAGTATCGACAATGAAATTTCCACGGAATCGTGAGGAGAGTTCACGTCATAGTGTATGGTTTTAGTGACAGCAATAATCTTCTTTCTGTAGTGAAGTGAAAATTTGATGATTGGGTGTATGCCAAGTTAAAAGCAGAAATCTTTTACTCAAGAAATCCACAATCTTCGTTCGTCTAGCCTCAACATTCGACCTTTATTTGTAAACGGACGCTGCAAATTCTAGGGATAGGTGTCGTAATCCGTGTTATTTATGTGAAAGGAAATTTCTAACAAATATCTACGCTTTGATATTCAATATTCCGCCAACCCCGCTAGTTCCATCATCCACTTCTTACTTCACACCAGGATCACTGTTTGGTGATGTGAGAATAGCAGTGAATCTACCGACAGTAGGGTAGTAACTCATCTTCGATCTCCTAACCTACTGCGGTGGACATTAATAAAGCAAGTTTGTGCTCGATAGAAAAAGTATAGCATTCGTGAAACCTAACCCCTCTTCTGGATCCATACTTCTTTAATGAGAGAAGAGTAGTCATCGAGATTGTCCTGAATAGAAGAGATAAACTAGAAGATGGAATGAGAAATGAGGGACAGTCCGGTATTGTGAATGACGATAAGCATGAGAAAGAAACAATGGCAATTGTCTCGTCTAAGATGGAAATTATTATCCGCTTCTATTCAATAGTTAATAGACATGTTCAGCCATCAAATCGGCGAAAACATTTCCCTCTACATCTATCATCAAGTTTCAAAAGGTACAATCTATACCACTATCGGTATCGAAGACCTAACTTTTGATTTTCTCTACCACTTACATGCACTCTCAAATATAGTTCCAGGTACTTCAGAGTCTTGACTGACCATCACCTAGAGAATAAAGAGCTCAGTATTACCAAATATTCTTATTTAACGTTCCTTTCTTTCAAACAACGAGCTGTAAGTCGGGGAGAAAATCACGCCAATCGCCAGCTTCAAAAATATCTTGATATTCATGCAAGAGATCTAGTGCTATTTTTAAAATACGTCCAAAGGACTTCGATGAGTATGCAAATCGATCGCTTGTGGACCAACAGATTCGCATTCAGAGTAAAGCTAGCAAGGTAGACGACAACAAGACTACAACGAAAAACGACAGTGAGACTTTCACACAGATGAGGCCAGGAAGATCAGATCATATGTCTGGATTGCAGTCAGAAGATATAAGCACAACATTTGTATCGGTGCAGTAAGTTACAGCCCCCAAGCGAAACTTGGCTGACAGGCAATCAAACACCACTTTGAGTTCATCTAGGAGTTTACATACTTTATAGGATGGATTCCTGTTTATTGTAAGGAGGTATCGTTAAATGTATCCATAGGATATGGTAGTTAGAGGCGGGATTCTCAAGTGCATCGATCTGTCCCGTGTGCGAGGTGAATCATAAGCTCCACCCACTGGGATTGACTTGAGTCATTGACAAACACTTCATGACCAAGAAATACAGTCAATACATATCAAGATTATTCAACTCCCAAAGCAGAGATTAACTCGATCCTATTCACCACGGGCTGGTTGTTCCAGCCTGTACAAAATTCGTCAGAGATTTTGAAGCTTTAACAATAATTCAAGCATGTAAGTCTTTCACAGAAAAGCTGCTCACTTAGGTTTTCGACAGCACATCAAGGCTATTCAGAAATGGAACCTCCTACGGTGATCAAGCTTTTCCAGTATGCAAGATCGGCCGGAGCTATGCCTTGACTTTTGTCGTTAAGAACCACAACCGACGAGCATTCAGTACAACACAACAAGCATTGAGCATAGATAGCAAAAGTTGTTATCTCAAGTATCTTTTACTGTTATTTGCCGAAGTAGTCTTAAGAGTATGTCCTCGCAGAACGAGATATATTTCGGATATGTAATCCTATAGATACGAAATGCATGTCGGAACGCATCTTTAAGAGTTGAAGGCCAAGCACATATCTTTGTCCACGTCATCTATCTGACATACTCATTGAGCAAATTTCCAGGCTCTTCACGACTTATATATACATATATCAGGGGCTCTGCTGGTGTCTGTTCTTGAATATCTTGGCGATCCTCATTACCAAGTAAATGTAACGACTTTTAAAAGGTATGAGTAGGTATCATATGATTGGATGGGAGTCATAAGATCATTTGGAATACAGTGAATCTGTCCACTCAGGGTGACTTCCGGGATAATTCAAGCTAATTTGGTCCTTACTACACAAATGACGAAATGAGAAATCTTTTGTAGAAGAACTTTTGACCTTCCTATTGTTATGGTTCATCTCAGGCTCAAGAAATAAGAAGGCACTGGAATTCAATGCTGGGTGTAGGATAGTCATAGATTTCCCTAACACTCTCCATCGAGAATTGTAAAAGTGTTCGCAACGCGGGTAGCTCGAGGAGTAACTCAAATACACATTCTATTACCCGAGCAATGACAAGGGTTAAGCGACAAAAACTAAACTTCTGACAGTGAGTGAGAAAATCTTTTCAGATGAGATGGTAGTGATGACTAGATATATGTAAAGCTTTGAACGATTCGGGATCTAAGGGTGTGACTTGTATGTCCTTCCAGGGCCATAAACACAATCCCACACGGAAGGATTGCCTCTATGAAACCCTTCTGGTAAAACGATATGGCACTGCCACTATGCGTTTTGTATAACTTTATATCGACTTAAAGAGTTCGAAAGTCTAGAAAAGTCGATATGGCGACCGTGAATTGATTGAAAGCTATCGCGTGAGGTATCAGGCTACCATGAATCTCGTGCCTGATCGCTGCTGCTTTCCATCCATGTTCGCGAGCTTCTTTGATACCCGCTTGAGTATCTCCGGCTTTATTGCAAGTCTATAAATATACCTCGGAGAGGCATTCTACCGCTGGGAATGTCTCACGCATGAAGACAACTAGTTCAATGATACCTCAATATTTTCAGATAACAGAATTATCAATGTTCTGGAGTTTGCAGCTCGGAAATCATCGAAGTACGATTTTAGAGAGGCTACGAATGGTAATTTTCATGTATAATGTTGTCAATAAAGACCATCTGGAAGAACGATAAATGACAACGAAACAGTAATCATGGAAAACATCGCTCAACTTGATGTATCTTGATTTCATTACTGCCAACGCATAGTTTGCCCCAATAGTTGAGTTGATCTTTCAGAAAAAGGGACAGGCGCTGCAATCCACCTGATCGGTTGAATCAGATGCGGTGCACATAGCTTGGAGCCTAGTGCACTTACTTTATTGATTTTTGCAATTTTCTTTTCAATTTATTATTCTTGCGTGTAAAGGCAGAACATGTACAGCCTGCACAGGATCTTCGAAACGAAGCAACGTACTTACATCCCAAAGTTCAATATAATTGGTTCATTAATACAGCAAGATCAAAAAACTCAAAACCTTCACTATAATTGAGGACTTCGTTGTTCAGATTGGAGTTGATATCAAAACAATGATTTTGTTAAGAACTATGGAGCCCTCAGGTCGCTAATGTAAACAAAGATATTCAAGAACTCCGAAAATGGTGCTATTGCGGGCTAAAAAGCAGCTGTAAACAAGAAGCATCCAAGACATGTGAGTCTCGTCGTTGCTTTAATCTGAATATTGTTTGAATGATATCAGACCTGTCAAACTCGGCAGGGTTCATTCGCTCAGACTACCTAGGTAATCCGATACATCTTGGGTGCCAGTTCGGTACATGATGAATGAATAAGCTTGGGAAATCTCACCTCCTAATGTTCTGAGATATCACCGATCAAAGTCAAGAGTTGAGGTTCGACAGATAACCTGATGTCCCACCCATCCGCAATTCGCGTGATTGGATTGGTCAAAGCTTGATCGGTTATCATTCTGACTATGTAACCGGGGCACCTCTAATGGAGCTACTGTAACCCAGAATTACAACAACTCCCTCAATTCTGCTCAGCCCAGACTTCAACGCTGTCAAAGTTTCAAAACAAGTGGACGCTTTTGAGTTGGAAATCCATAACAAGATCAGCTAAAATGACAAGCTTTCGGGGACCATGAAAAGCAGAGACAAGCTTTTTACTTTCAGGTCTGCGAGAAACAATTGTGCTGGAAGAATCTTCTTGGCCCCCTTGGCGATTATGTCTTCACACATGAGAGGGGTTCGTCCGCAGTTTTCCATTATGTACAGTGTACACTCATTAAAACTTTGTTACACATTCTCTATCCGTGAGTCAGATTGTTGCTACAAAACACCGGTACCGATTCAAACGACCTTCAAGAGCTCAAAAAGACACCAGTCCGATATCGAAGTAGGTGTCGTAAGCTTAAGAACCATCGTTTGACGCGGGTCATAACCTTTCCTGCATTGAGCAAGTTTATGATTGTTTGATCAGACTCTCTTAAACCGACATCCCCACGCTACGCCATCAAGCGTGTTTCAATTGTCAATTCTTTTTTCTCTCAGAACGCCAGATTAGATTCTGAATTTCCCATAAACCTTTGTACCACACACTTGTGATGTTCACTTGAAGTTTCCCAAAGTCTCTTTGTATCAACGTTTTTGTACGCTGTATACCGTGTACTCTGTTCCTGTGTACATCATCACACAATTTTAAGGGCAGGACTCACCCGTGTTTTAATTGTCTTTATATAATCTCTAATTAATTCCTCTAATTCTCAAGATGGATATGTCAGATGGCATGACAATGGGTGGTGCACCAACAGATGGCTCTGCGTTGAATGCTACTGGCTTTGAGCTGTCCAACATGACGCAAGCTGCGGATTATTTGGGAGAAATATTGGATGATTCTGTTTTTCAGATAGATGGAAATGCTGCTGCCAGAAATTTTTGGTATGGAGTCTGTGCGGTTATCGGCATAGCTGCTTTTTTCAACTTCGCACAGAAGACTACTATATTTTTCAGGTAAGCTCATCTTCAAGTGTTGCTGCTACAGTTATTAACATTTCACAGATTGAGGGCTGCTGCCTCGAACAAAGCACGACCAGCATCACCATCCAATCCTTTGACAATATTTCTAGCTACAATAACAGCAATTGGCCGGGAAGCATCGTATTCCCAATTCATACCACACAATGCAATTGCCGCGAAGTACTTCAAGATCCCTCCTCTCGGAACTATCATGCTCTTGGTATTGCATCTAGTGTGGGTCATTATCCTCGAGTTTGCGAACAACAACGTTCCGGGTGCTCAACACTTTACTTCATTGGGTGTTCGCGCATCCTGGTTGGCTGTTGCACAAGTCCCTCTATTGATACTCCTAGCTGGAAAGAATAGTCCACTGGGACTTGTCAGTGGTATCTTATATGAACGCTTGAATGTTGTTCACCGATGGACTTCAAGGATCCTTCTGTTTCTTGTTACCCTGCATGTGATTTTCCTTCACTTAGCTTGGAATGCATCTGACCTAGGGCCTCTGGAATATTCTACCGATTCGTGCATTTCAACTGGCTGGGGAGCATATGCCATGCTGCTATGGATGAATATTAGCACTTGCGCGCCTATCAGAAATTTCTCCTATGAGTTCTTTGTAATTCAGCACATCATCACTTTTTTCGGATTCATCATTGCCATTATGATGCATCTTCCAGATACTGCTCTATACTCTAGAGTTTACATTTATATCCCCATTGCATTTTACATAATCGACAGGACAATCCGTACCGGGAGATATGCTTGGAACAACATTCGCACCCCAACGGCAACATTGAATGTTTTAGAAGGTGGTGTTACTCGGGTTTGCATCGAAAGCAAAGCTATCAAGAAGTGGAGCCCTGGCTCTCACGTTCTCCTAGCAATACCTCAGCTTGGCATTGGGCAATCTCATCCAGCAACGATTGCTTCCACACCATCGTCACATGATGGCAAGCTAGTCTTCTTGCTTAAAGCCCACAAGGGATTCACAGGTCGCCTATTATACGCAGCAGAAATTTCGCCAGCATCGAATTCGCCATGGAAAGCCCGAATTGATGGACCATATGGTAACACTGTTGACTATGCTGCTTTCGACACTGTTCTTCTCATCTCAGGTTCAACTGGTACAACCTATACGCTTCCAATTCTCTTAGACATTGCATATCGTGCACAAAGTACACGACTTCCAGTTCAGCGCATCGTCTTCGTTTGGATAATCAAGAACACTTCATGGACATCATGGATTGCAGACGAACTCGCATCAGCAGCCGAGAAGCTTGACGGCCGCTGGAATCGAGCTCACAATTCGAATCCACGTAACCTGCGACAACAACTTTACAACCGGAGACAGTAACACGTTAGCTAGTTGTTGTACTTGCGACAAAAGTCTCGGTCCTTGCTGCTGTATATCTGTCAATGCTGATACTGATGACGATGAAATCACATCTATCGATGAAAAGGGCACTAAAATCAGCGCCAAGCCAAAAATCACAAGTGCTTCTAGTATTACTTCAGGAACCCGATCATCAATTTTACCATGCGCAGTATTCCAGAGTGGGAGACCTGATTTCCATCCTCTTATAGGGGAACTATTAGTGAAAGCCGCGGGGGAAACTGGGATTGCTGTTTGTGGACCACTTGGATTGAGTAGTAATGTGAGGACTACGGTCGCGAAATGTAGTAATGATAGGGCTGTTCATAAGGGAACTGGAGCTCAAGGTATTTTTCTGCATGCCGAGGGTTTCGGATGGTAGACTTTTGAGTCATTGGGAATGGGGTTTGGTACTGTTGAAGGGATGTGGGAATGAAAGATACCCATACTGTCATGGCCAGGAAAGAGCGGTATCAGGAGGGGTAAATCGTAATGAATATATCTTGTATGGCTTTCCCACTAGGACCTTGAAGCAAATCGTGACTTTGCAGCTTGCTTTATTTGCTTGATAGATAAATCCTCTATAAATCAGCCGGTACGAGTATAATAACATTCGAGAAGTGACCCTTGTGCTTTTGAACAGTACATTTGCACAGTTGTTCGAGAATAGTCTTGGATGCAGAAGACGGCCCGAAGATTAACCAGACCCCCGGATAAGACTTTACCTGAACAGTGCACCTTCAAAAAGCCAGGGCTGTAACAATGCTTTACTTCTTTAGTTCTGGCTTACGAAACTCCACTCTAACAATCAAAAGTAGATCGGATAGCGGCGACGCGCCAAAGCATCATATCACAGTAAAGCAGCGAGTGTTGTGTTTCCAAACACGCATGTTCCGTGCTGCTTTTCAGAATGGATCAAGTTAATTCAGGTCTTCACCAGCAGATACCCACAACATACAGACAATTGCAGCCACAAGCAGAACAAGCTCTCCAGCATGGTCAACCTCATCTTCACCACCACACTCTTACATCCCAGGCAGGACTCGATCTGTCGGGTTTGGTCCAAGATGATAACAATTCCGTCTATCACCCAGACTTGAGAAGCTTGCAGGATCCAAATGCAGGACATCCTATTGCTCATCAATATCCTTCCCCAATCCCTTTCGAAAGAAATAATGGACACCCTCAAATGCATGTTCAGAATACTGGCATTCAAAATACCGGACTTCAAAACAGCATTCAAAATGATGGCAGCCCCCATACCCCTCAGCAACAACATCCTGGATCAGGACAATTCGGAATCTTGACTGCAGGTCCCTCTCTTCACCATAACCCAATTGGCAGATTGCAGCAAGGTTTGCCACAAGATTTGCAGCAAGATGATAATTTATTTGGCACACCTGATGAAACAGATCAGAAAAGCATTGGACATCATTCTCACAAGATTGTCCCCAATCCTCCGGATTTGGCGGCATGGAGAGAGAAGCTATTTAATGTCAATGAGATGATCACTCTGAGTGAAGAAGAGTAAATTCACCAACTCAGATTCGGAGTAAAAATTTGCTGAATGATTCGATTTTAGGTATAATACATATTTTCCTCATGTCGATAACGTTTACTCTCATCGGTCAACTCAAAAATACAAGCGCAAGCCATTTGTTTCTCACTACTGGGATTGTCGTCTCAAAGGTAGGCCGCCAGGAACTGCCAAATCCGATGATCCGAACAAAAAGAAGCGAAAGCGCACTGCGCGAGAAAGAGATCTTTGCGATGTCAAAATCAAGATTACAGAGTACTTTCCGGGTGCTATGTTGCGGGCAGATTTTCAACCAGATGGAGGTGCATCGGCAGATCCATCCCAAGCGAACAACTTTTTTGCGCAAGCTGGACCTCACCAACAGCAATTTGCCCTTCCTCTCAACAACATAAATATCCCACCCAATCATCCAGGCGCCACAGGTCAACGATACTATGAAATCCAGCGTGTCAATGGAAACGGTGGCAACGGCAAGGGTGATGGCGTTGCAGGACCTCACAAGCATGATCTGGCGAGAAGTGATGAGATCAAAAAGAACAGTATTCTTCGATTTCTTCAAAAGAGAGAGAAGGAGGACAAAAAGACCCAGGTAAGATCTTCTAGTTTTATCAGTAATATTATCCAGCAAACACCACATGGAGAAGTGCAATCGCCAGAAATGCAGCGACAGGGCGTTTGGCCATCGCAGATCTTTGGGTCGCGATTGCCCTTTTCTGCCCCGCTCCTTCTCGTGTCGTAATGTATAACTACATCATAACAAGCCTCCCTTAGCATTTTCTTTTCTAAACATTGAATGCCTTCGGAACATGAATCGAAACGGTTCACCCAGAAGATCTTAATCTCAATCCTTCGATCATAAGCAATAGTTGCACATATAAAATGACTAACACAACGTGGGAACAGAAAACTTATCACAAGAGAGCCAGCGGCCTAGCTTTGAGTACCGTAAAGAAACATACCAAGGAGAATGATTTGAAGTTATTTGGCAGTTGCTTTTGGTTGGTTTCCTTCACATAAAAGTTCCTGCAATATCAGTAGAAAGCCGCATTGGACTAACATTCCGTGCCAGTCCTTTTGTTCAACGAGTTTGGATTGCTTTGGAAGCCAAAGGTATTCAGTATCAATATATTGAAGTTGATCCATATAAAAAACCTCAATCCTTGTTAGAGGTCAATCCCAGAGGATTGGTTCCTGCTATTCGTCATGGAGATTGGGGTTGTGGGGAAAGTACTGTTTTGATGGAATATGTAAGCCTTACACTTTCTTAGTTTTCTATACTGGATTTCAAGCAGTTCCCAGTCTTCGATAATCATATCACAACCATCTAACACCCTACAGCTCGAAGACCTTCAAACCGGCCCATCTCTATTTCCACAGGATGCGCGAATTAAAGCTCATAGCAGACTCTGGGCCGACCACGTATGTTTCCCCAATCCTTTTCTTTCGTCCAATCCATTAACAACAATCTAGATTGACCGTAAAATTATCCCCACATTCTACGCACTTCTTCAATCCCAAAATTATGAAAAGCAAGAAGAATTGAGCGCAAAACTTCGCGATGAAATCTCGCAAATTGTAGACGTGTGCGATCCTCAGGGTCCATTTTTCCTCGGCCCAACACTCACTTACACCGATGTCCATTTCGCGCCATGGATTCTTCGTTGCCGTCGTGTACTCAAGCATTATCGAGATTGGCAAGATCCGCAACCGGGCAGTCGTTGGGCGATCTGGTTTGATGCGGTTGAGAATAACGAGTCTGTCAAAGCGACCACTAGTGCGGATGAATTATACATTGATTCTTATGAGAGATATGCGATGAATAGACCGGGCACGAGTGAGCTAGCGGATGCGGTCAATGGAGGATTCAATTTACCTTAGGGGCTCGGGAGTCGGGGCTCGGTTTGGGATGGGAAGGGGGTTGTAAATATTGTGGGGGATGGGATGAATTAAGATAGATGGGATGGGAGGGGTGGGAAAGGTACCTAATGATCTTCTTTAATGCAATGTAACGCGATGCGACGCAACGCAAGTTTAGGGGCTGGTTACAACGTGGGAGGGGCGGCCAACAGTTTTGTTTTCAAGTTTTGTCGCCGAATGGTAAATTACGATTTCGAACGTAAGACACGTCTGGTTGGGGGAATTGGAATCATCCTAAATCCAATGGATCTTTGGAATCCTTCTTTTATATCATGATAATGCTAGTTATTAGTTCAGTTGGTTGTTGGTAGTAGAATAATCAATAATGAAGAATCTCATCTGAATGTTTAAGAATATGAGATTTTGGACGTCCAATGTTGTGGTATGATAAAGCAGAGGAGAAGGTCAAGATGTGCATGTTGTATGTATTACATATGTCTTCCTTTTTCCCTTCTGAAAGCAAAATACAATTTAGGTTTCCGCCTATAACCCTGATTCAGTTATCCAACTATCCATTCACAGATCCAGTGTAGCCAATTTCTACAATATCCACAAATCTCTCAGCTTTAGTCCTTTTTTCCCCCTTCCGTTCTCTTCATTTCTCTCCTCTCTACTCCATCACACACACATTACCACATCCCAATCCCAAGCTCTACGCGACCATCTCCCCATTAACAAGCGTATCCCAATAGCCTCCACAGAAACATCTTCTCTGCTGCATAACCAACCACTGCAACGCTGGCCTCTGACTCAACACATCCTCCATAACCGATGCGCATCTTGCACATCTTCTCCAGCGCTTTGTTGTATTTCCACTTCCATGCCCTCCATTCGCATTACCATTCGCATTACCATTTGCATTACCATTTGTATTACCACTGCCGCCTGCTCCTTGCGGTGTAGCCAGTCCCTGGATCGTTGGTAGCGAATTATCCTTATCCACCGAGTTTACATTTTCAATTGCTTTACTCAGAGATGATCTCGAGGAAGTCGGGGGAGGGTTGATCAACCAAGTTTTCCTGAAACAGTCCATCGTCACCCCTGAACGCTTTCTCTTCGCCACCGATTCCTCATCCTCGTCTACTTCCAACATTGTGAAATCTGCGAACCATAGATTTGCGGGATCGATTTCGAGACGAACGCTAGATAGATAACCAGGTGCTGCTGTGTTGGCTCCCAAATCGTTTTGAGTTTTAGGTTCGTTATCTTGTATGCCTCTGAAGAGATCGATGATAACTGCTTTGAATGCTGTGGGGATCTCACCGCCCAGAAGCATTTTTATTTCGAGATTATTACGCGAAGGACCTATGCTATTATTTGTGTTTCCTGAAAGAGGGGGTTTATGATTTGTATATGCGGATTTGATTGAGGAGGTTAGGGATGAGAGGAGAGCTTCGAATGTTTTGATACGGACGATGCAGTTACTCGTCAAATTGGCAATTTGTACATAAGCGGTCCTCAGTGTCGGGGAAATGCTTTGCTGTCCTTGTCCTCCTTGATTTGGATGATTGGTATTGGTTGCGATGGCTTTGCGAGCTACGTAGTCAAGATGTTGGAGGCGGCGACAGATAGCAGTAAGGAAGCCACGGGTAGGAGAAGAAAGGAGGAGATGGAGTGTTACGTTGTTGGTGGTATGGAGGTAGGCGAGAAGTTCTGGGAGTGAGAGTTTGGTTGGATTTGTTACGGAAAGAGTTTCTGGAAGGGTACTGGGAAGTTCGAGGAGAGTGTCGGTTATCCAGGCCATGAGATCTAGAACCCAGCGAACAGAACCAGCAAGGGCAGTGATTACCTCTAGAGGTCTTGTTAGCCTTCCGAGAAAGTGAGATGGAAATATTGCATACCTGGATCATCGAGAGGCGTTGATTTCGTATCATGAGTTGGACCGGGAACTTTCATGTTTGCAGCCATGGTGACAAGCACAACAGTAT